CCCCCCATTCCCCCCCCCCCCCCAAAAAAAAAAAAAAATAAATAAATAAATAAAACCCTGAGCGACATGTAATGTTGGCCGAAAATAATACTGGAATGCCCAGGAAAGGAGGCCATCAGTAAAATGAAAATGAGAGATCAAGACAGTTGCCATACATAAAATTCTTTAAAAGAATAATAAGATTTATGCAAAATAACATTGCCACTTAACATCCAAAAGAATGTGCCAGAATATCACATATATGTCCAGAAGTTCATGGTCTAGAACATTAAAATAGTCTCAGCCTTCTCCACGTCTCGTGGGAAAGAAGGGCATTTCAGGGTCCTACATTTTTCTCCTTGAAAAGCAAGATAGGTCATGCTTGTTCATAAGGTGATGTCTCCATGTTACACCACCACATGGTCCTTTTCTTCCTTTTCCAAAGGAAAAGAACATGTAGTTGGGGTGTCTTCAATGGAAGTGAAAAGTGATGTGACACAGAACTAGCTGGAGGAAAATGCATAAATAAACATCTTCATTTGCACAATTGGGAGGGCTCTAATATCAGCTTACACAGAGTCTCAACAATCTAATAGTGAAATAAAAAATTGATCAAATTAGAAATTTAGAGCATTCATATCTTCGGACATGTGTTCAACATTGCTATAAACATGATGGGAAATTAACAGCATTAAAATCGATTGCTTTCAACACAAACAAAAGATTGAAATAACTCCATACAGATAATAAAAAATGTTGGATTGGTGTTAAACACGAACATCAAATTACTTTCATAATTATGAACAATATGATTTTTGACAGATAAATTACTTTACAACAATGACAAAAACAAATGTCAGTTCCATACTCTCTGGTGTGATATATTCTTGGAAGAGAGTGCATTGGACCAAAAAAAAATCAAAAACATACGCACCCATTTTTCTGTTCAGGAAGGTCTTTAACAAACTCTTGCTTCCAAGAACTAACATCAATGTCATTCCCACCCTTGTCCTTCACCTCATCAACAAAATATTTAGCCTGGATATCAACAAAGATCAATAGTTTACAAGGAAAAAAAAAAAAAGAATGTACTGAACCAACAAGAATGCTAAGAGAGAACTGACATTTACAACAAAAACATTAGATTTCTAAATTCAATTCATGTATCTCAACCAAACATGAATGCAAAACGTACCAGAACGGTCATCACATGGGTATCAAGACCTCCCAGTGAATCAAGATACTGAAACTTCTCATCCTTCTTATTAATAACTGCTAAGCACCAATGTATTTCTTTGTGGATAGGAACAAAAATCTGATCAAACAATGAAAATCAAGACACATGCATATATAGTAAAACAAAACAATATGCAATTAAAAAATACAAAAGAATCACAAATTTTACCTTGTCACACTCAAGAAGGTAGTAACCCAGTTTCCGTTGTGTAGTCCATCTTCTAACTGCTTTGAAATCATAACCAGCCCTCCCCCCAATTAACTGGGCACAATAAAAAGAACAGAGGGTCAAAAATTTATACACCACTTTACTCACATGTTATGACCGCCAAGAGAAAGAGGTCATATTTATCAGACACAATTAGATCCGTTGAATGTACATCATAGATAACCAAACCAGAAACTTATTAAACAAGGGAATCAGAATGCATTAGATGAACAGATCTAAGCAACATTCTTTATTTCCAGGGACCCACATCAATGGACGAAAAAAATCAAGAACAATCATAGAGTGGATCCCACCTAGAAGATTGAATATATAATATGTCATCGTAATCCAATTACAATCAAATATTAATTACAGCCTGATCATACCGACGATATATATATAAAATATAAAATAGGGCAAGCTGCAATAAGTCCATCTGACGGTCTCAAGTCCAACGACCACCAATATTCCTCTCGAAACTATTCACATTGTACCATACTTTCAAGCACGATTTACCCCTAGTATGTATATTTATATATATATATATATATATATAAAATAATGGCTTACCTTAAACAATTAAAATAATCATGTTCAAGAGGGCCATAACTTACTATTTCCCATGGTTTGAGTTCAATCTTAGATTCCAACCTTTTCGCCAAAGAGCATTTAATGCATTCACATAAATTAAAAAGTTTGATTGTCTATATTATCCTCCAAAAATTTAAACTTCTATTTATGTGGATTTTCAATGCCAAAAATGAGGTGCAAAATGAGAAATTTTTTTAATTAAGGGTTAATTGCAGTGGAGGTTTCCAAAGTATGAGATTTGTCTTATTTTGGTCCCCAATATTTCAATTACATCATTTTGATCCCTAAAATATTGAATATATTTCTAAATTATCCTTCAAACAAATATTATTTAAATTGTTAACGATTTTTTTATCATAAGTTGTTATGTGATACCTAAATATGGGCGAAAAAATAATTTAGGTAGCCCTTCGACCAAAATTTAGGTAACTCTTGACCAAAATTTTGGTAATTTTTGACTAAAATTTGAATAGCTTACGACCAAAATTTGAATAATTTAGATAACTTTTTGACCAAAATTTGAATAAAAATTTGGCCAAGAGTTTATCCAAGTTTTTTTTTTCTCATATTTAGGTATTATATGACAAGTTTATAATAAAAAATCATTAGCAATCTGGACATTGTTTGCTTGAAGGACCACATAGAAATATATTTAATTTTTCGAGGACTAAAATGATGCAATTGAAATATTAGGGATCAAAATGAGACAAACTCCATACTTTGTAGATGTTCAGTACAATTAACCTTTTAATTAATTGTATTTTGTTGGGACATCCAAAATGGAAAGGACTCCAGCTAAAACATAGGGCACCATATTGTGTGGTGCCATAGAATGCACTTGAATGTTAGAATTACAACGAAAGAAAGAGGAAAAAGTATGTCCCCAAGAGACCAAAGGAAAAAAATTATACTTGGAATGTGACAATAACAATTTTGCATTTGTAGAAATGCTGATAAAAAAATTTGCATATGTAGAAATGACGAGTAGTCAAAATTATGATACGAAGTTCTAGTTCTCCATGCTTTCACTTAAAAAGTGACACATGTAGTGCTGGTTCAAAAGCCCCTACAACTTAGACTTCACTCCACCAACTACGTTTTGTATCCTTTCCGAGGGACCAAGAACATATAGTTGTCTCATCTTGTCAGTGGATGTATTATACAATGTGCTATATATTAGTACCTACAGCATGTCTTATATTGTAACCTGTAAATTTCACAAGCTTAAACTTCAACAGCAATGCAATACCCATGTTCTTTGAAGTACTCCTTCTACATATGGGTATAGTATAGTAATCAAGGTGCATCACTGCATCTAATGAAGAGAGAGCATCAAAGCTGCTTATTGAACTTTTTGAGCATCACCGAGATTTTTTTTTTCCCCCTCTTCACAAGACAACAGAAAGGAAAAGAGAGCCATTATTGATGGATACCAAGTGTATTTAGAACAACTGTACAAAAAAACTTAATACTTAGCGCTTTGTGCCATTTAAGAAGTCACCAAAAGTGGACCACAATAACATGTCTTATAAGTGATGTTCTGCTTAACATGTATAGCATATTGGTTTTATCATGCAATACTCATCCAATGCAAATTATGCTGTATTTCACATCAATAAATACCGATATTTGCACATCAAAGCAGCCGCAAGTTTAACACAACCAGTAAATGTAATATATTATCAATTGACCCCAAGCGAAAAAGTAGGTGTGAGAGAGATAAAACTACCTTCTTGTAAAAGAATGTGTTGAAGAAGTGACATTTCAAAAATCTTTTGGGCTCCCTCTTTTCCCTCTCTTTCAACAACTCAAGATACAGATTAATAACCTAAAAAACAAGCAAATGAGTCCTCATCAAACAAATTACATCACAGGCTTACTAACTTACCTAATTAGTTAGATGACATTTTACTGCTGCCATTACTGGCAAACGAGTAAAAACATACCTCGTCATTTAACCACGCGCCCGGTCTTAAACACTGCAATACTTCTCCTGTAATCTCAATATTAGAGTTCTCATGATTGACCAAAACCTTTCTCCTGTAGAAATGGAAGCACAAATACATTACAATGTAGTAAAGCTCCTTAATACAGCAATAAAACATACATTAAACAATACCTATTCGAGTTAGAAAGGGCACGATCAACATCAGCCTCTTCTTCCTTAGTAAGTGGCACAAAAGGCTCCGTAACTATATCCTGAAACTCAATCAATTCAATAAAAGAAAAAAATCACTAACTACACCAAAATGTCTCTTCCAAAATGATACCAATAAAAACACCTCACCTCCTCTGGTTTCTTTGGATGCCAAAACAACTGAAGTGTTTGAAACCTTTTCCACTTCAACTCAATCTCAACCTGCAAACTATTAAATTTGGGATCCATTCTCCTCATGGAATAAAGTAACTTTTTATACAAAGGCACATCGGCCAAACCCTTGTTCAATGACAAGGAGTCCAACATTTTCCTGGCACAATCCCCCTCCAATTTTGGTGATATCCCCACCACCCCACTGGTCTCTTTCGAACTTTTCTCTGAAAACAAAGAGCTTCCTTCCCTCCCATCTTCCAAATTCTCAATTTCCGAAACCTCATCATCGTCTTCTTCAATAGTCTCATTATCAACCTCCATCACCAACTTATCGTCATCACCATCATCAACAGTCCCACTATCAACCCCAATCGCCTCCTTAATATCATCGCCATCATCAACAGTCCCACTATCAACCTCAATCACCTCCTTATCTATCTTGAAATACCTCAAACTATCCAATGTGCTTTTCCTCGTCTTCTCATACTCAGATTCTCTCACATTCCTATCCCTATCAGCTACAATCTCCCTCTGACCAACCCCAACAGCACTCGGCCTCGAATTCGCAGTGGACCCAAATTTGAGTGCTCTAACAGGGGCATGAACTTCTCTCCGAAATCCTGTAGTCGATTCCGGATACTGATGAATTCTTGAAGCTGTGCTTTTTGATGAGAATGGTTCATCAGGGCTTCGACACTTAGAAGATGAAAACCTGGGCTTTTTCGAAACGTGATTGTCGTGGCTATCAAAATTGGGTGGCTTCAAATACGGCGATTTGTAATTCCAGGTAAAATAATCGTCACCGCGCTTCCGATTACTGGTTCGAGCACCCATTGATCTGAACTTGTCTGAAATTCTGTGCAAACTAGAGACAAACAACGGGCACCCATCTAAGGGATTCGACTTTGAGCAAAAATTAGCATGTGGAATTCGAAATAAAAAATTGAAATCATGAAAACGTAAGGAATCAGAAACCCTAAACTTGTGTGAAGTTTGTGATAAACTATGATTGTGTAATAGAGGGGAAGAAATCAACAATTCGGAAAGTTCATCCTAGAAAACTCGGTAAACTTTGAGGTTTCGGCAAATTGAAAATTGCTGAAATTATGGAAACAATATAGTAAGAGAGACAAAATCAAGAAAATTTTTAGGGAGATCGAGAGCGAGAGAGAGAGAGAACTGCTTGGTTTTTAGTTTCTGCAATTTGAATCGATCAATTTATTGGAATCGATGGATTTCAACATCTGCTTTTGGGAAGGGTTTCGGCTTTCGCGGTTCGGTGGAGCAATGCTTAGGTGTTTCGCGTGCACACACCAAGTGTGGTTTGATCAAACATGGGGGTCCTACTGAGATCTGATCAAACATGGATCTTTACTTATGGATAAACCGAACTTTAGTCTTCGTTTTAATTACATTCTAAACTTTTAATTATTTTAATTTACCCTCTAAATTAAGAAAATTGTTTTAATCACGTACTTTTGTGTTAAATTCTGGCGTTAAATGGAAATGAAATCCTAAGTCCTAACGGTGGGTGGTCAAATATCCCTATATGGGTTTGATGGGCTGGACTTGTATTTAATTGTGGACTTTAATGAAGCCTTATTTGTTTAGGTTTTATTTGCTTTGGAATTTATTTATTTTGGGCTTTATTTGTTTGAGCCTATGAGATTTTAGGCCCTATTCAACCTAGTTTCATATTTATGAATTGGACTTTACATTTTATTTCGGCTTATGAATTTTAGTCCATAAACCTAGCTAAAAAGTTTGACAGTATTCACGGCCGGCCCATAAACAAAGCCACTGAAACAGCTACTTAGGGCCCCCAACTGAGAGGGCCAAGGTGAAAAAAAAAGAGTAATACTATTTGGACCTAAAAATTTGACCTAATTTGCTCACATAATAATGTGATTTCATGAGAACTATTAGATTAATACCAAATTTTAATGTTTGATAGCTCTCACAGTCAATTCAAAGGTCATATTTAGTCAAAATTTATTTGGGGATAAATCTATTTTGATCTTCATTATCAAAAATACTCTCAATAGTTATATTTAGTCAAAACTTGTTTGAAAAAATCAACAACTTTTAAATTGGGAATTGTATTAGTATTAACAATTTATATCGTAGAAATTGTGCTAGCATTAAAATTATGTTTCTATATATATATATATATATATATATATATATATAATAGTAACATCAAACAATAACATACACAATAAAAATTTAATCATTGTAATGGAGTGACACTCCCAAAATAGAATAAATACTCACATATGATGTCATTTTATTGTAATGATTAAATTTTTAATTAAATTTTTTATTGAACATGTTACTATTTGATGTTATTATTATTTTTTGTTTAGTGTGTTGCTATTTGATATTACTATTTTTTATTGAACATGTTACTATTTGATATTTTTATTTTTTTGTTGAGCGTGTTACTGTTTAATATTACTCTCTCTCTCTCTCTCTCTATATATATATATATACATATATATATATATATATATATAGTCATAACCCTTGAATGCATGATAAAATAGAAGATTCCAACGTTCAAAAAATTGATCTCACTATATCAAATTTAAAATTAATTTCTTTGCCTTCATCATTTAAAATTAATTTCTATCTATTATTTTCTTAAAAATAATGCCAAAATTTTCTCAAAATGCATAATTCAAAAAAATAATTTCTAACACGTGTACATTATCGTGTATGGATAATGTATGAAATAAAAGTTGTATTAAACTACAAATTAACCAAATATTAAATAATTGAACATGTGATAGAATTAAATGATGTAAGCATAAAGATTCAATTTACTAGCACAATTTTTAAGTTAAAAGTTGTTATATTTGAAAACATTGAAACTAACAATGATAAACAATATTTATGATAATGGTAATTACGGAATACATTTCAAAAAGAATTTGAAATGTTTAAAAATGTGTTGTTATTGACAACTATTTGATGAAAAAGATGACTTAATAGATTATAAGTTTAAAGTTAATACTTAAAGTCAAATAAATTCTGCAAAAGGTACTCACAGTCAATCATCCCTAAAATGTAATTCGAAAGTATAGTTTGCCCCCAAAAATATCAAAACTCTCTCTTTTCATTAATGCAATCTTCAATAAAGTGCCCACCAATTGATTCACTCAAATAAAAATGCCTACAAATTAATGGTGCAACGGACATGACTATGATATACCTAAATTTATCATATTTGTCATAATTCTTACCATATTTGTAGATAGTTTTATTTATCTCTATTGTGATACTAAAAAAAGTGATAAAAATAGTTAATGTCATCCTTCAGCTACAAGTACAAATAAGATAAATACAACATTCAAATACCTTGAGAATTATCATAATCTGAGAATTTGTTAAAACATGACCAATTATATTTAGTTGTATAGCCTCATCCCCAATTTTTTTGGACATAACCGAACTAGTTGTGGAGATCTCAAGTTTTATTTTGTAATTTCCAGGTTATGGGAACATTTTGTTATAGGATAAAAATCAGGGTTATTGTGTGAGATCTTGAATGTTAATATAGAGGAAGTCTTTTTTTTTCTTTTCACTTTTCTTTTTTAGCATTTCTAATAAGTTATCGCACAATACTTTTAAAAAATGAAAACTCATATCATCCATTGAAATAGTTGTAGTTAGTGTCATTTTTTGTGAGAGTGTATACTTTAGACCTAATTGATGAACTCAAATCTAATCGGGTCAGGTCCAATAAATCAATCATTTAATTGTACTTACCTTTTGTAACTATCATCCCAAAAGAATTAGTGTATTCTCCCTCAAGTCACCGCCCCAACTCAATTAAAACTCTGTTTCTATAAATTGTGAGCTATCTCCATTGAGAGGAGCATATCTACACCTTTCTATACACTCCTCATATAGCTTCTCTCTCTCTTAGCTATTGTATCCCTCCGGGGGCTAACCCTTGCTCTCTCTCGTTCACTTTATTTTATCAACAAAAGGTCCCTCCGTCATCGTTATCGTTTTTCGGAGTGGAATAGGTCACCCGTACCAAACCACTATATATGTGTATTGACCCGATATTTACATTATTGTCATTGATTACTTTATTAATTGTTCATTAATTACACTTTATCACACACTCAATTTTTAATCTTGCATAAGTCTATTTTATATATCATCACTAATGATGTGCCAAGTGATATGGTGTGAATGAAGAAATTTAACAGTTATTGGACTATATCATCTATCACATCATTAATTGAACAAATTAGAATAAATTTATAGGACATAATAGCATTCCTCTGCTTGTAAAGGGTTGTAATTGGCCCTTTTTTTGATTTATTTTATTATTTACACCATGTATACTAGGGGTGCAATTTAGGCAGGTTGGGCGAGTTGAGGGTCAACTCTAACTTAACCCTAAGTATATAATTCTCAATACTAACCCTAACTCGACCTCAACCTAAGATACTAAACCCTAGTATTGCCCAAGTTTAATTCAGACGAGTTCGAATTGAATTCGGATTACGTAATTTGGACAAATTTTGGGTTACGTAATTCGGACTAATTTGGGTTAGAATTTGAATTGGGTTTATTCAATCTTGAAATCAGTCTATTATTCTAAACTTGGTACATACTATATAATATTTACCTAAAGTAACAATCAATAACCTTAATAAAATTTTTAACAGAAAGATCATATTATTTAAAACATAAAAATCAATATTTAATATAAAGATATAATAGTCAAATATTTAACAAAAGACTAAACCAAAAGATTGACTCTTAGTATTTTAACTTGTAAGTTATATTACTATATTGATTTATGTATTTATTTTAAATATATTCGCGTTAAACCAGATTTAGATATTTGAGTTGAACCCGATAACCCAAGACTTAAACTCGAGTATTGTCTAAATTCAATTCAAGTTAGTGTTTCTCTGTCTAGTCCCAATTCTATTTTTAATTGGGATAATTTAGTGGTTTAATAAATTCTGTTAGTCTGTACCTAATTAGAGGTCTAAATATAATATTTTAAACTTGAGCAGTCTGGTATATTTTTATAAATTTGAGAGGTTTGATGACAATTTACTAATGGATGCGGCCACAAACCTTAGGGAATTTATATATAATTTACACTGTTTAATGATCTCTATCTTCTGATCCTAGTGTCAGTCCCTAGTCCATGCCACGAGGTTTTTTCCTCCTAACACAGTCAAAGTGCAGTTTATTCTCTCGGTCCTTAAAAGTTCTACTTAGGCGGTTTCATGGAGGTACATCTTGACTCGTCTAAAGTGAATATGCCGCTGATGCATAAGGTACTGTGGCACTGGGCTATTTCCTCCCAACACAGTCAAAGTGCAGTTTGATCTCCCAATCCTTAGAAGTTCTATTTAGACAGTTTTCACGGAAGTACATCTTGACTTGCCTAGAGCGAATATGCCGCTGATGCATAAGGTAATGTGGCACCTGCTCAATCATATGCACACAAAGAATTGAACGTTGCATTAGATCGGGTTGGTAAAAATAGAAAAAAGACGAGCTGCTAACATGAAATGAGTCTTTCTTTACTTGTTGGACTTTTAGTAGAGATGTCACATCTATTCGTTTGTTTTTCACTTAGTTTTTCTTTTTTCTTTTTATTTGAAAAAATGATAGGTTAACGATTTTGGTATTGTGTCGATTCAAGTTCTTCATATTTCATTTTCTTTTGGGCTATTATTTCAATTTAAATTGACATTCTCCTAATATTGTCTCCATAGAGGATTGTAATAATTATGTTTTCTCGTACAACTTTCTTTCTTTATTTGTTCGCTTCTTTATAATCTTTAGCCACTATGATTTGTTTTTCTCTATTTCCAAACACAAATAATAATTCCTGTGGGAATCGAAAACTCCTCCTTTCGACAAAGTACAATTGCATTATGCTAGTGATTAGTCAAATCTAATCAAACAATCGAGCTAACATCTCCCAAATAAATGAATAGACATGACAAGAAATCAATTTAACCAGAAAACGATGGATCAAACAAGTTTCTTTCATTTATTCACTCAGAAATTGGGATGCTTCGACAACTCCTTCGAATTTTTAAAAAAAAAAACCATTAAGCAAAAAGAAGAGACAAAACATTGGCAGGCCGGAATCAAATTTAGATGGTGAGATTATTAAGAAAAACAGTGAAAATTGTGTTCATAATCCTGATGATCTGTTAGCATACTCCTGAACCAATGCCCCAAACAATGAGGGCCTCTCAATTAAGTTCCAAGGCGTGTCAAATTCCTTCGCCCGTCCTGTGCAACCACAACAAAGCCACAATGCAGATATTA